AGGTGCCGCACTGACAATGGAGCTGCTGGCCCGGGTTTCCAGATGGGTTGAGCATCCTTGTGCCCTCCTGCAAAGGAAGGAGGGTAGCAAGGTGCCAGCGTGTGCTGTCTGGAAACACGGCCAACTGATGTCATCTTCTGTTGCTGCTTTCTTCTCCACCTCATGAGTCCCTGTTGTCTCCTGCTGTCCTGTGCCATGAAGCAAGCCGAGAGGGGCTGTGTTCCTCACCCTCTCTCCATGTCTGTTTGAAGAAGACATGTGTCCATTGCTGTGAAGGGGTGCCTGACTGTCAGCTGTCCTTGTAGCAGCCTGGACCAGGTCCCTTCCACCATGCACTGCTTTGTTTCACTCTTTAAATTCATTAAAGTTTATACTGCATTGTAGCTTGAGTCTCCTTGTGTTCCTTCCTTCATGAGATGCCTAATCAGGCTGTCAGGGAGAAGTGGGATGTCCTGGAGGGGAAATGTTTGGGTGGGTAAGTTCTAATGGTTGACCTGTTTCATGCCTGGAGGAGCTGAGTACCCTCAAAGGCCATGGTCATTGGAAGTGATACTGGGCATTGGAGCGTTGTGTGGTATTGCCTGAGTATGAAGGGGCGGTCAGGATCTCACCCAGGGGATATGCCAGTAAGAAGAAAATTTGGAATAATAGTTTCCAGTTGATGAGGCAAGCCATGTACTGCTGGGAGACATTTCTGTTCAGGCTAGCTCCCACTTGGCCAAGGCTCTGATGGCATGTTACCACTTGCTATGTGTCCTTGCCCTTCCCTCCACCCTGCACTTCTTCCAAACCGTGGAACTGGAGGGCATCGCAAAGGAGTTGAAGGGACAGATGCAGCCAGAGCAACTGTATGAAGGGAGATGTGAAGCCTTCACCAAAATTTTGCAGAATGGAGATGTGATGAGCATGGATGTGTAAAATGAGTATGAGAGGGGAATGGAGGCAGAGAAATCATCCACCTTCATCTGAAGTGATAGGTAGTGTTGATGACAATCTTGGAAACTCTGCAGAGGTCTAGAAAGTTGAAGGAAAAACATCTTATCCCCCACATGAGGAGTTTCGTGGTCAACAACATTAAGTACTGTGAAGTCCTCTGTATGTGTCACCATGTCCTGAAGGGAAGTGGTTCTGCACCAAATTTGCAGCAAATCTTCAAGAAACCACACTGAGATTCTGTGCAGAGAGTGCCTGGAGAGGTCCCAAGCAATGAACCTTTTGTCCTCTCAATCATGCCTCAAATTGGGGAGAGTCAGGGAATGGTACCCTACTGGTTCTGTTCTCACTACCTTCTTTCAATACCCTTGTTGTATCCTGGCAATGCTTTGGCCCTTCTGCTCTGGTAAAGTTGGAGACACCTCTTGTGCAACACTTCTCACACTGTCCTTGCAAAGATTCGTGGTCCCTGCTTGCTGCTGAACAGACTTGGGTGTCTTGTGGAAATCCTGCCAAGTCTATGGTCATGCCTGGTGTCCCAGCAATGTGGATGGCCAAAGCAGAAATTGTGGCAAAGCAACAGGTAGGAAGAAGGATGTGTATGGAATGGCCATCATGTGCCTTGGTCACACGAGTGTCTCCAACTTTGACAGAGGTGTCCAGCAAAGAGTGTTGGGAAGGGAATACCTCTCGTTATTAACCACTGGCAGTCTGCTGCTTAAGGCAGGTGGGGATGAAGAACAGAAGGAAGAGGGAAAAAGAGACAGGTCCACTTCTGCAGAGAGCAAAGCTGAAACTCAGAGAGAGAGTCTAGAGCCCCAAGGCATAGCAGCCCCATCTGGAAAGGTGATGTCTAATCCAGTGTGAGTGAGCACAGAGTGAGGGAGAACGACTGATGGTGCCCACCCTTTTGTGTGCATGTCCAGGCAGAAGCCTCGGGGTCCTGAGGAGACCTGCCCCATTCATGAGCAAACACTTGAAAGTGAAGCCCTGGAGATCAAGAGGCTGTCATCACCTGCTGAGATGGGATGCTCCTCATCACTGGCTGCATCATCTGTGTGTGCTGACGTGTCATTTCCCCTGGAAACATTTTGGCCTCTAATGCTGTCACTTGAAAGGAGCCTGCGTGGCTGAATGGGCATGTCATGAAGAAGGAAATGAAAAGGCAGCGTTGCAGGGAACATAAGCCGTGTCTCCCTTTCCTTAATTGTGATGCTTTGCATGCAAGATGAGCTTGTTGGTAAATACATTCCATGTGCAAAGGTGCCTCTGGGCCTGGGGTGGTGTGGTCCAGTATAAAAGGCCGTGCAACTGCAGGCTCCCTCATCCACTTCTCTTGCCTTCTCCTCCGTGGTGAACCAGGTGAGCTGCAACCACCTTTGTCTCACTCTTCTCTTCCTCTTGTTCTCCTCTTTGGCTTTTGGCCTTGATTGAGTCTTTACGTGGTTTTAGATTTTTCTGAGAGCCTTGCTCCTGTTCCAACCATCTCTTCTCCTTGTCATATTATGGATATCTGGAAGGTCTCTCTTGTGTTTGCAGACAAGCCCTTGGGTCTGAAGCTCTGTAATCTCTCTTCCTCCCTACACAACCTGTCCACTTTCCCCAGACTGCCTTTTCTCTTGCCGAGCAGGCTGTCAGGCTGCACCTCACTTGCTCTCTGTGCTTTCCCTGCTCTCTCTCCCAGGTGCCCCCTCATCCCACCGCCATGTCCTGCTACGATCTGTGCCGTCCCTGTGGGCCAACCCCACTTGCCAACAGCTGCAACGAGCCCTGTGTCAGGCAGTGCCAGGACTCCCGCGTGGTGATCCAGCCCTCTCCCGTGGTGGTGACCCTGCCCGGACCCATCCTCAGCTCCTTCCCCCAGAACACTGCTGTGGGATCCAGCACCTCTGCTGCTGTTGGCAGCATCCTGAGTGAGGAGGGAGTGCCCATCAACTCCGGGGGCTTCAGCCTCTCTGGCCTTGGTGGCCGCTACTTGGGCAGAAGGTGCCTGCCCTGCTAAAGCCGGGCTGGGCATCCAGTGAGTGCATCGACCAGGAAGCCCAAAGCCAGGTGCCGGACTGACAACGGAGCTACTGGCCAGAGTGTCCAGAGGGGCTGAGCATCCTTGTGCCATCCTGCAAAGGAAGGTGCTGTCTCGACACATGGCCAACATCTGTCTTGTTCTTGAAATTCCTGCTCTTGATGTCTTTCTTTTCATCTATGACTTTGAATTTCATGTTGACTGTGTGTAATGCTGTACTTTGTAATAATCAGTGGAGGGGTTTTATTCAAGAATTAAGGAAAAGTTGAGTTTTACTTGCTGCCTTTCCGTTCAATTGTTTAAATATCTTCTTTCCCTGATATCAATATATTTATATTCCTCTTGTTTTGCAGGCTACTGCTTGACTTTACATCATTAAACTGATGTTGCATCTGAATTTGAGTTTCATTGTGTTTTTATTCTCCTTTTTATCACCTCTTGGAGAGGAATGTTTCAGTATAGAGACAATCTATGCAGAGTGCCTTCTCAGTAGAAAATGCGAATTGAATTGTCACCACAATCAACCTCATAAAAAATAATTTCATTTTTGTTTACAGTCTTGTGAAACGTTGATGAGGTTTACATATCTATTTGCCTTGCTAATTTTTTTCCAAAACTGTTTCCACAACTGTGCGTAAAAGAGCAATTTTAGTATTTCAGATTTGGCTCTTTATGCTCTTATCACTTATTTGGTGTATTTGAAACTCAGGGTTTGAAAGTGCCTAGTAGGTTTTCCAGGAGCAGTATTTGGGTTTCTTTTTTGGTTAAATCGAATATTTCCAGACTCTGAAGCTTTAACTATGACATACCTTGAGTGATCTTGAGTCAAGGCTTCAAAGGTGAAGTGTGTGTTCAAATCTCATCAGAGTAATAAGACTCTTTATATGATTGTATCGTTACTACATTTTTACGATGGGCTTTTCCCTCTCTTTCAAGTCTTGAATGAAATCAAATAAATCTTACTCCTTAGCTAATCCACACGAGAACTCTCATAATACACAGGAAAAATTACATGAGTTAAGAACTAGAAAAATGACTGTAGTATTTCATAGAATCATAGAACGATTTGGTTTGGAAGGGACCTCAAAGATCATCCAGTTGCAACCCCCCTGCCATGGCCAGGGACACTCTCCACTACACCAGGTTGCCCAAAACCCCATCCAACCTGGCCTTGAACACTTCCAGGGATGGGGCAGCCACAGCTTCCCTGGGAAACCTGCTCCAGTGCCTCACCACCCTCAGAGGGAAGAATTTCTTTCTTACATCTCATCTAAATCTCCCCTCTTGCAGTTTAAATCCTTTTCCCTTAAGAACAGTTTGGGTTTAATCCTGTTACATGCTCTCTAGGAATTTTCTCAAAGATGTTAAAACTCAGCACGTTGTGTGTAACTAAGAAACATTAAAGAACAATAAAGAATGCCCTTGTCTGTAGGTATGTAAGCTTTGAGAAATTTATCCAAGTTTTTGATTGTATTGACTCCTTTGCTCTCCAGTTGGAGATACATGGGGTCTGACAGGACACAGCACAGGAAAACAGAAGAATGAGAGTTTTGCAATTTCTGATGACTCTATACCTTGTTCAGGGTTTTCTCTTTTAGAGCCCAGTAAAATCTATTTAAAAGTAAAAGTATCATAGTACTGAGTCAGAAATAGTGGAGGAACCGAAAGGAAGATCTTTGGCATTCAGATTCAGTCCTGGAACCATTCCAAATGTCCATACAGTGGAGGGAAAAGAGGTAGATTTCTTTTTTCCAAATGTTTTACACTGATGTTCTAAGCTTTATTTACTTAAGAATTACTTACTTGCGAAGTAACCAAATTAGAGGGGTGGGTGGAAATAGTTGAGTGGTAAGATGGGATATGTCCCCTTTAAGGCTGTGGGTTGAGGCAGTAAAAGTAAAGTATGAAAGATGGTAAATCAATTGGTACTAGACTGAGTGGAGTCTCTGCTTAAAAATTGGTTTCCATGAGTGTATTTTTTTAAACAAATAATGGAAGGCACTGGAATGCATACGCAAGCATATGATGCCCTGTTGACAGAACTAGTATGACCGTAGTAATTAGTTATTCACTCAGATCTGTGAGGAATCACTGATTACACTCTGATGTACATCAAAGAATGGCTTCATTCTTGGTGGCAGGAAGGCGTCTTTCTGTGATGCAAATGGGTATGTAGCATAAAAAGTACAGAAACGAATTTCAGGAGAATGAAATGTCTGGTTAAGTGACCTGTGTCCAACAACAGCATGTCCTGAAAGGTACATTCGTGGTGTTCTTTGTGAATGAAAAGTCCTGAAGAGCTACTCTCTGTCACAAGCCTCTGAGTTGATGCTTTGCTGATTAAAAGAAAAAAGAAAGCGGTGTCCTGGAACTAACCATCTTCAGACAACACAGCATCATGGGGTGTTTGTGCAGGATGTTGGTGCCTTTATTAAATTAGAGATACAGTTCCTGAAGAATGTGAACATCACTTTGAAAGCCATGTCCCCTTTGTATGTTAAGATTGGAGAAATGGGTACAATGTGCATATGGATGTTTACAAAATTTATGAGATGAGGCATCCTTTTTTGCATGAATTAGTTCCCACATATAGTTTTGCAGGTGGAACCTTTTCTTGATAATGAAATTGTTTTGTTTTGTTTTGTTTTTCCAGTCTAGGTTCACACTGGCATTGCATGAGAAGCATACTCTACTCATTAAAAATTCTTTCATCTTCACAATTTATGGGTACTTTTAATTTCTGGTACTTTTATACCGACTCTGTTAGTGTCAATATGAAATTACTCCAAGTCCAGTCTAATAAAGACCTTTTTTTTTTTTTGGCTCCTGAGCAATTGGTTGGCTTGTGGGTGTCTCAGGAGTGTGATCTAAGATCACATTCAAGACATTTACTAAAGCTCTTTGTGTGCAATTCCCTGTCTGACCCACTTAAGAACAATTGCCAGTTAACTTGTTCACCATCTTTTAAAAAAATATCTGAGGACATCTCTAAGGAGAGCTTCAAGCCTCCTTGATGAGTTCTTTGAGCCAGTAAGACTAACCTGGAGTTGAGCCATGGTCAGGAGGTGGGTCAGGAGTCTTTTTGAAAACACTGCAGTGATCTCTAATTTAGTTTTTAAAATACAAGCTAGTTACCAAATAGACACTCTTGTATTAATAGAAGGAAGAAGAACAGCAGTGTTGAAAACTTCTGTGAATATTGTTACAAGTTTTACAGGAAAATTAATTCTCCAGGTTTCCATTAAGCACTTGATGCCACAGAAGATTTCGTATTTTAGAAATGTACATGTTAACATGTTTATGGGTTGGTAGCACTGTTTAGTTCCGGAAAGGAAATATTCAAGAGTTAAGAGGGTCGCTTGAGATAACATTATTGAAATATGAAATGCAGTTTAAAAATTTATAAAAGGTTGATTTTATTTTTTCTTTTAAGACTTGTTCAGGGTTGGTTTTCACAGAGTTTGTTAAAATACAAACTTCTTGACCTTGTGAGGACATACACCTATGTGTGGGCTTATAGACAACGAAGAATGAGCTTGGTTCAGAGGTTTTAAAGACATTCCATTGGGCAGATGATGAGAGTGTTAAAACCTCATCATACATCCTGAACAATTTGTTAACTTAATTCTGTGAATATGCACATCATTAATGAAAACTTTGAAGGAATGTGAAGCCTTTCTTCTGTAGGAACCTAAGACCAAAATCTTTTATTTCCCAGGTATCTGTCAACCCTCATGCACAATAGTCAATACTTTTTCACCAAGAAGAGGTTTGAACCCTGCAGTGTGTACAGGAGACATTGCAAAGTAAAGTTAAAAGCCATTAAATTTTTATATATATATTCCATTAGGCAATGATCTTCCATCTGTCGGGAGCATAATCACTGTTGTACTGCTGTTTGTAGCAGGGGAAAAAATGCAATGGCAAGCAGATCCTTATGTGTTGGGGTTTTTTCCCCACAGTTAAGCTTGTGCAAGATAATACCTCAAAATAGTTTAAAATTCATATGTGTCCTCAAGATGACTTGTGAAGTGCTATTCTGATTTGTGGTCTGAGATGGTACAGAAGGGAGTATTTGGTTTCCTTCGTAAAAGAACTGACAAATCAGGTTGGAATATCCCTGTGTGATAGCAGCTGTGCCTCAAACTGTGTTACTGAAGTGTAATAGAGTGATACTACCCAAATCTGATATGATATAATAGAATAGTATTTTACTCTGAATTTCATACAGGGCTCTGATTATTTCTCATTGGATTCAGTGGGATTTCAGGTGTGCATATAGTTGTACTTTTCTGCAGTGCGTTCGCAAAAGACAAAAGTTCAGTCTAGACTGTTCTTGTGCTTGGCTGGAGTCAGAGCTTTGTAACCATCGGTGGAGACCGGAATTTATGATGGATTTACACTCATATTCTTAATAAAAGAACACTTTTGAATGATGAATTATGTATTGTATAAATTCTTCTTAATATTTGTCCTTATGACTAAAATGAAACATACACTGGAGCGTAACTTTTGTTGTGACTGAAAGGACACACTGGAATAAATTTGGTCCATAATACCAGAAGATGAGAGAAACCTGTATGACAGAATATGTATGTCAGAAGATAAGGAAGTGAAAACAAAGTAATAAACAGTAAGGAAAAGACATTTAATCAGTTGGAAGCATTTTGCATTCAGGACATACTCGTTGGTAAATAATTTCATGCACAAACGATGTCTGTGGTCCTCAGGCCATCCAAGATACGGTATAAAAGCGAACTCAACTCAAGATCCTTCCTACCACTTCTCTTACCTTTTCCCTCTTTCGTCAACAAGGTTAGTTCAAATCTACTTCTCTTTTTCTATTTGCTGATTTTTTGCCTTTATAACAATTTGATTGCTGTTCTTTTTTTCTCCGCAGTATTCTGCTAGCTGCTGGATTGGTTGGGGGGAAGACTTTTTCTCTTTAAAAAGTTGTGGTTTTTTTTTTTTTCTGTTAGAATTGCAGGTGTTTCTGGAGTCTCGACTCAGACATACAGATCCTTGACATGGTGATAAAAAGTTATTCCAATATGGGCTTTCAGACATACTAAGTGACTTAACAAATCTCAATAATA